AGGAAGAAATAAAGACATGTGAATGTACGATCTCGTTATAACTAAATAGTCTCATAAATTACAAATGCTTGTGATTTTTGATTTGTGTACAGTAGTCATACAAATGTGCAAGTCGTCAACGAGCAATACTATAATTTCAGAATTTTCAATATTGGAGAAGACGAACACAATATGAATACAAACTTGTATGCGGACACAATATGACACCTTGCGGTGCAACGATGAGGGAATTTGTCATTTGTCGATATTTTACGAAGATATTTTTGAATTTTTTGCATCATGAATTAAAAATTTATAACAATAAAACAAGGAGATTCCACTAAAATTAAAATACAACATACAACAACAAAATATAAAAGTTCAAATATTTTTTCTAGAGCATTGTATATTATTTTAGGAAATAAAACTATTGCAACTAATATTCTATATACTGATTTATATTAATCATCAATCATGCAATAACGAATTAATTTATCGAATTAATTTTACCGTCGTATATATCAAACTTCATTCATAATACAAAACAATAGTAAATAAAATATAGGGCGAACCGAACATAATATTTTACTTTCACTACTCTAGAATAAAGTAAGGACTACATTAAAGATTTAAGATGGCCTTAAAATGTTCAATCATCAATTCTTACATATTTTATAATTTAATTTATTATTATGCAGTTATAATATTATTAATTACTATTCCTTTACATCATTATTTTACTATTTTTATATCAAACTAATCATTACAATTTAAGTTTATTTCTATTCATTTTATAGCTTAAAAAATAACTTGTCCTTCCATCATTTTCTTAATTTTTCATTAAAATAATTTATATACGATATCACCCTTAATTATTTTTATACTTTCCCTATAAGAAACTGAACTCATTTAATTATTTATCCTCTTTTACCAAACTTTGGAGCGTACTCCTCTTTTTAGCTGTGAGTGTGGTTACAAAATTCAATTGTCTATTTGTGCATGTATCTTTATGCAGATTTTACTTTATTTGATGGAAATGAATAAATATATTTTAAAAAAAAGTTTTTTTTATCTGATTGTGAATCTCAACTTACATCCTATAGGTTTTTTAAGCACAATTTATTCTAGAAGCATTTTGACTTTTGCATGCTTAATTTTATATCGGACAAAATTAAAAAGAGAAAACTATATAGTAATTTATGCTGTCGTCAGCTTCAAGAACAAAATATCCCAAATATGACGTTGGGATATTTTTATTAATTGCTTCCATAAAATACAAAATGCAACTTGCAGGATTGCAACACCTAAATTATGTGAAACTCCACTTTAGTGGTTGATACATTAAAAAATGTCAACTTTTATTCCTTTAGATGATTAAAAAAAATGTATACTTTTATTCCAGGTGATTTGATGAGCTCATAAATGTCACTTACACATTGAATTGTTGAATTAAATGAGCTGCTTGTGAGCTCGGTTCAGCTCGTTTAAAAAATGAGAAGAGTGCGAGCTCATTTAAAGCTCGTTCAGTTAAAGAGTCGAGCTTGACTCGTTAAGACTCAAAAATATAAATTTTATGTATTTTTCTATACTTCGGCTCGATTTTAACTCGTTAAGTCTCGAGTTCAACTCGTTGATATTGATAAACGAATCGAACTCGAACTCGATTATAAGCTCGTTAAGTTAACGAACTTAGT